TGGAGAATAATTCAGCCCTCAACAGGGTCTCAAATCTGCTGCAGCCACAAGAATGTTTAATATATAATAGATAAATATTTCATCCAAAAATTAAAATAAAATATTCTTGCAAACCCGACCCCAACACCAATTACTATTCTGAAGTTAACCCATCACTTCTACTGTTAATACTTGACAATATTCTTCATTGGAAACTAGGTCGAAAAGACTGAAACTGAATCTTCAACCAAAAACAAAATGAGTCACTTGAGGTTTATGGCATATAGTTTAGGTAAACACACATACAAGGAGAAAAAGTAGAGGAAGTGGAAGTGTCGGAAGCCAAGCTGAGTGACAGAACACACTCGGGGTAGTTGTGTAAACAGCTATTCCCAGTTGGGGTAGATGTTTGCACAGAGTAGTGGGATATCAGGAGAAGCTCCCTATGGATTCCTGTGCACACACCTGGCGACACAGGATCCCTTCCATAGCAGATCCAAGAACAGGGAGTTAAGGGAGGAGGCCACTTCTGCCATTCCAGTTTCAGAAGCTCCACATGGAAGACAAGAGTGGCATGTGGCGGGATGATTCCTGGGTGCCCAGTGGCACCACTGGCATAGTCTGAGGAGACAGTCCATTTGGCTTTCTGACCCACACTCATCTGGGCCACCCCTTCTTCCTAGCCCCAGATCACCTCCTGCTTGCCGAGCAGAAACTTGAAGGACTTGTATCTGTCACGGGAGGAATCAAACTTCTACCCATCTTCAAGCATCCCGGTGTAGTGCACCACGCAGGTCTGGCCACGCTTCGGGAAGGTGCGCCCGTCCCCTGGAGAGATGGTCTCCCCCTGCACTCCCATGGTGGTGGCAGGTGCGGGGCTGGCGGCGTGGACAGAGAGCAGACCGGGTGGCGGTTTTGGGGCTCCGCGTTGTTCCTCCGCGCATCGCCTGTGCACAGCATTAGATTTTCTTAGAAGTTACGTTGCATTCTTCATCCCATTATGAGTTTTCAGACAACTGAAACTTCAGAGTCCTCCTTTTTCAACTGTTGAACTTTTATACAAAAACTTTTGCTGTGACTCAGTTAGATAGACCCTTGACATGGACGCTCCCTCCGGTTATGCACGGCTCGTCCTAGTGTCTGGGACCCGATGGACAACCTCCCTTCACTCACTGATCTCAGCTTTTGCATTCTGTATCACCTGGGGTTGCATTCAGCTTTTGCATAGGAATCCTCTTCAGCAAGAGCACAAGATCCCATTCTAAGGGCTTAATAATCCTTGGCTCCAAGGGCCCAATCCAGCCTACCATGAGTTTCTAACACATAATTTATTAGCATAGAGTTGCTCCTGTTCACTTTCTATCTCTGGCTGCTTTCACGGTAAAATGGTAGAGATGAGTAATTGTCAAAGAAAGCAGATGAGCTCCAAAGTCCCAAATGTTTACTCTTTGACCCTTTATATGAAGTTGCTCTCTTTTGATGTGTAATATTCTGTCTTGGCTATGTGTTATGCTTCTGGGAAACTTGATTTGACCTACTATATCTTAATCTGTTATAAATCTCATTTTACTTAATCAATAATCTTAGGCCCTCAGGATTGCCGTCTAATCCAAGCCATTCTGCAGTTTGAATTCTTCCTTTCAGGCTCTTATTAGAGTTTATCACCCCTGAACAATTCCACACCATTGTATTGAAAATTTATTTTGTCCAAGGAAAGCTGACACAGAAAACATAAGGCACAATTGTTCCCAGAGGAATAAGTAATTTATGTGGAAGATAAATGCCATGATAGAAAATTATATGCCAGAATAATTTCTCACAATTGTGTGTGATCTGTCCATCACCTCAGTCTATGGCATCCCCATGGGAAAGAGCCTGTTATCTCTGTCCTCTTTGTAAAGAATGAGAGCTCAGAGAGATTGCAGTCTGTTTAGGATCACATAGCCATAAACAGAAGCCTCCCCTACCCTCCAAAA